GAGCCAGGGTGGGGGGGGGAAGGGGGGGAATGAGAGAGAGACTGCTTGGTTCTGATTTACAGTTGTGCTTAAACCACGACATGGTACTATTTTTGTATACACAGCTTTAGTCTTAGTGCTTCATTTGCTGACCGTATTTCATCCCAATTTTATTGCCAACTTGCTTTCCTCTTGTTCTTGGTGGTGCTTACCAGCTCTTCTCCTAGCTTCAGATTTGTATTTGAAAGGACTGTTTCCTGATGCCTCCATCTGTGTGTTCCTCATCCCAACTGTCTATATGTGACCTGGCCATGTACTGACATTTTCAAGACTGTGCTGCATCTCTACTGTTCCCTGCTTGTTAGTAAAGTTTAGAATCCACAGGCTGGAGTAACAAACTGGCTTGGAGATAGGGATTATTATAATTCATTAGTTCCCTGTGATGTACTTAAAAGTGCCTAGTATGGAAAGACCTCAATCCAGTAAGAGTTTCTGGTAGCACTGCAGTTGCTGAAGCCAGACCTAACACTACTTGTTGTTCCCTGCTGTTATTCTTCTTCCTTTACTTTCAGACCTGCACAGCTAGCTTCCCTGATGCAGACAGACGCAAGCTTACTATGCTCATGCCGGCAGCTGCCTGGATGTTAAGGTGGCTGTCCTTTGTACAGGTTTGAGCTGACTTATATCTGGTTAGCTTGTGAGACAAAGCAGGTGAGCTTTGGCAGTCAGCTCACAGAGCAGGGTCTTCATCACGTTGCTGCTCTCCGTGCTCCTGAAGGAATCTTTCCTTCCTATGCACTTTTTCTGTGCTCACCATTGTCTTGAGCAAGCTCTCAGGGTACCAAAAACTTTCTTCACTGCCAGTGCCTTCCTGACCAAAGTCATACTCTTCACAAGGTAATGATGTAGTTCATCTGTTTATGTCCTATCTATGGTCTGCCCAGACACTGGGACAGCCTGGTGTATGTTATGTATGTGCTGGTGTTTGGTATGCTCAGCCACTTCATTTATAGCCTCACGAATGTGAGAGGCCCTTAGAAAGATGCCAGAGTCAAGAAAGTGTTTGAAAATGCCTGAAGACAATAAGCCTTCATACTGAAAGTATCTGTTTTACCCACCAGGAACAGAAAGGGCCAAAAATTTCACCACAGTTATGCTAAACTTCAAAAAGGGGAACCATGTAGAAAATGAGAGCACTTGAAGCTAGAAGTTTCAACTGATTTCGTTAAATCCTTATGTGCTCCCAGCACAAAGGCTTCATCCTTCCCACTCCCTACAGGTGGATTGCAGTCCGTGTGGGGAAGCCTGGGAGCCATAACTGCTCACTGCGTTGGACAGTCAGGACAACCTCTGGAGGTGCAGGAGCCTGACATCAGGCTGAGCCCAGCTTTAACAACCCTGGCAGAACTATGGGGACTGGGAGTAAGATTTCAAAGTTAAGCAGTCCAGTATGAAGAAATTTCAGAACTGATCACATTTATAAGCGTGTGATACTATCTTAAATTTTAATTGCATAATCTTCTGTTCTTTATTTTTCCCAATCTGTCTAGATTTACACCACAGGGCTGTGGTGATGCTGAAACAGACTGCTGGCTGGAATAACCTGTTCACCCTGAGTGATGCTCAACATGTCATTCCTATGAGGTATTGCATAAATACTGTCAAAATACATACTCATTGTTCCTCAGATCTCCAAGCTGCGGTCTTGGATCTTACTGTCTGAGTGAGATCAGACTCAGAGAGAGTGAGACTCACTAATGAGTGCTCATAGCTGCAACGACAATCAACAACAGCTGTATTTTAAACACCAAGACATAACGTTATGCACTCTGAAAAATCAGGTACTGGAGACTTAAAGGTGATGGATACTCTAGACATTAAGTTTTCTAACTCTCAAAATATCATTTATAAAATAGAAAAATGTTCCACAAAACACAGTGGTATTGTCAGAGTACCTTTGGTAGCCCATACCATATCAGACTGGAAAATACGACAGTGGCTTGGTACTGAGTGATGTGCTGATTTGAAAACTGCTGGAGGATGGGAATCTTGCACTGAAGATTTTTTTAATCTTAATTGAGTTTTCTGAAGTGATTTAGATATCCTAAGGGAGGAAAAGCAAGACAAGTGCTTCTCACTTTTCCTAAGGTCCATTCTTCTTTTCTTGCAGAGATTTAGGTTTATTTAACTTTCTCAGTAGATCCAGAAACTGAGGTTGGTGAGAATGGGACTCATCTCTGAGGTCACTCTTGCTGTGATACAGAATTTTACAGGGATCAGCTAAACCCATCATTAAGGTTGGTGCTATTAGGTGGCAGTAACCATGAGAAAAGAAGATTCTTGGGTTTTCAAAGTGCTGTTTGGAAGGGATTTATAAAAAGGGCCCAGAATGACTCTTGCCTAACTCATATTTGTATCTCGTATCAGAAGGCAGTTAAACCTGACCAAATTGAAACCCCTATGTACATTTATAAAGAAACAAAAGGGGATGAGTGTTAGCAGCTCTAAGTGGTATTCACATCTCAGTCATTCTTTGCTATAGGGTAGAAAAATGCCATCACTCAATTATCTAAAGAGTCCCAGAATACGTAACTGACCAAAAGTTTTCAGCCCTAAGGAAATCATGTGCACCACGCCTGGGAGAAAACACCAGTCATTACTCAGGAAAAAACTGCTTCTCAGATGATATCACAGTCAGTCTTTATTGCCTATTGTTTGCAGATAGCTAGCTGATTTTCTTTCATGAGGAGTGAGTGGCTTTCCAAGCTTTCCTCAGGAAAAGATTTTAGAATGAAAAGCTAATTCATCTGCCTTTCTCTGGATATATTTTGTAAGCAAGTCAAACTACATTTTTATGATTTTAAAAATATTTTTATTTATTTTTATGACTTTTGACTTATTTTTATAGTAAAATAATAAAGAATAAAATATTACAATGTATATAGACTGAAGTCCTTCAACAAGCTAGTTTAACACATTTACTTTCTTGCATCATAACCATCTCACAATGTTCGAAAATGGAAGTTTCAGGGGTTATAGCTCATTAGAAAAAAATCAGAACCTCAGACAAAACAAGTATGAGGGTGTATTAAGACTCTTCTTCCAAGCCTTGAAACTCCTTACAAGTAAAGGAAGGAATGTAATTCCTATTAATACATAGAAATCAGTTTTAAAATTAACTAACAAACTATGTTGACTCAAAACATCTTCTAATACAAGTCATCAGGCAGGCATGAGGGCTGGGGTATGTGTATATTCTTATTATACTCCTCTAGGAAGGGGAACGGAGCAGTTCTCTGATGGGAGCAGGGGTTATGACAATCAGGTGTGGAATTTCACCAGTACCCTCACATTTGCTGAAATGTTTCAGTCCCTGGAATAAGGAGAACTTTGCTTTTATCCCAGTGTTTTCTGACAGAGGATCTCACCACCTTTGGACTGCTTTCCCAAGGCCTGGGATGAAATGGAAGCAAAAGGGCTAATTCAAAGTTTGTCTCCTTGATCTCTTGTTTTAAAAAGCTTAAAAAAGGGAAAACTCAATGATAGTAGAGGCAGCAAGCTTACAGGATCCAAAACTGGATCCAGTTGTGTCTTTCCGCAGATAAAAGAGGACAGACTGAAAGGTGGAATAAGGATCACATGCTACAGGATGGTGTAATGTGAGGGAAAGCACACAAGCACATTCACATTTAAGCACAGAAGCAGAAGGCTAGCACAGGAACTTGTAAAAAAAGATTAAATCAGTCCTCTGCAGTAATTTACATAAAGAACACTTAGGGAAAGAAGAAAAGCCTTAAAAGGTGAGAAAGGTGGGAGAAATCAGGAGTAAGTGGGAAGGACACATTGCCTTTGCCCGAAGAAGTAGCTGTGGGCTGCAATTAGCTAAATGGTACATGACTCCTGCTCTGTGATTATGTTGTGGTTCTGAGCCACTCATTGGTTTACTCCTGTTTCTAATGGAAGGAGTGCTGAATAATAAAAGCTGTATTCTCTGGACTGCCAACAGGAATTTCCTTTAGCTTTTGGTGCTGAAACTATATTAAAAAAAACAAAAAACAACAAAAACATTAGCTTTTATTTCTGGAATAACACTAGTAGATAACTATAGCACAACCATGGGTTTATAGCAATGCTTTATGCATGGGGACTGACCTTTTAGGCAGGCTTTGCTCTCCTGTTTGCAGCCACTCCTTGCTCCCATAAACATCTTTGGCATAGGAAAGATAAGCTGGGGGGAGGCATTTCTTATGCAATGAAGCTCATCAAGTTGAAAGCAATGATAAAAAATGCCACCTCCTCTTCTAAATATTATGTAGCTACAACAAAGCTCGCTCCTTGCCTCCAAACAAAACAAAAGCCCTTCCTTAGTGCCAGGGCAGCAGGAAATCTTGGTGCCTTCGCTGAGCGTTTAAGTGCTTATGAGTGCCTCACCACTCACCAGCACTCAGGCTGTTGGAGACCAGGAGACACAAATCGATAGGGTTAAGTGGATTCACTCTGTGCTTGCCTGCATATACACATCCTAATGTCCCCCTGCGTCCCCACCTGCTCTGCTGTTATCTCTCTCAAGGGAACTACCATTTGCCAGCTTGTCCAGACAAGATCCAGAGCTTAAATTTGCCAAGGGGTGAAAAAAGAAAAGCCTTCCTGCTGATGAATGTGGGGGGGGGGTGACGTGAAGGGAGACTTGCCCTATGTTAAATACAGGGAAGAGGGATCAAGGTATGCAATACCATCTTCTGCTATACGAGATGGGTCTGCTGGCACTGCCTGGTAACACATAATAATGATTCTCTGTCATAGCGGCTGGCAGCAAACATGTCCTGGGGAGCAAATGACTCATCAAAGTATGTATGCGCATCCGAACACTGCAAGTGTCACACACGGGTGTCCCATTGAAGGACAGGAAGCACAGTGTCATTTGGAGCACTGCTTCTTTGGAGTTGTGAACACAAAGGAATTAGGAATAGGATTAATTCATTTAGTTATTGATCTCAGACACGCACATTTTCATTTAACATTATTCGGACGGAATGGCTTATAACTGTAGGCAGTACAGCAGAGACATCTACATTTCCCTTTGCTCATGAGGTAAATCTTAGCAGCCAATTCCTTATAATGAACCCCTGGGGAAGGTTTTCCTATGGAAAAATAGCCTAATAATCGGACTGGGGACTCTACTTCTGTCCTCTACAAATATACTCTCAGCAAATAATTGGTGGCCCAGATAACATGGGGATATAGCCAGGTAAATTCTACATAGAAAACTTTCAGGGAGGGAAGGAAACAAACAGAACAGGCTTGATATAAATAGGTCTGGATATACATGCACACCCATGCACACAGTATCTCAGCTGATAGGGGAAAAGTTCAAATACAGCCTCCCTGTATCTCCATAAACATAAAGAGCTACAACAGTGGGAGAAAACAGATTATGGTACAGGGGGGCATTAAGACATTTTTGAGTAGTTTCATCACATGGAGCATGAGGTCTTTTCAGGGATCCGAATAACTTCTTTGCCAAATTAATCTGCAAAGGACTTTCTCATAACTAGCTCTTACAAAATCCCTCTGTCCGTGAATAAGTGAATGTAAGGGCCAAAAATAAGTTTCAAAGGTGATGAAGACCTGCTGGGATTGGTGGATTCACCAGGTGACACCATTAGAGATACTGGCACCTTAGATGATCCCAAACTGGGCCAGCTCGTGCAGTTCCAGATGGCTGAAAGCTTCCCATGGGCAAATCACTGTGATATCTGCAAAAGAGAGAATGAGAAATGGGTTCTGGTCACTGCATTTCTTGGATTTCTTTTGGATTAAGGGAAAAGCTGACTTACTTGGAAAACATTAAGAAGAAGACAACTCCATTTGAAGCTTAAATGAGCAGATGAGCTCTCCAAATTTTGTACTACCTACTAGACTGTATCTACATACAGGATACAGAACAACTGTATCTTCTCCTGCTTAAGTTTTCAGCATTTCCTATAATCTCTTTAGTGACTCTGTAGACTGGTATAAAAATTCATTCTGGTTATGTGGTTTCAACTGTTCTTACAGACTAACTGTAGCAAAACTGTGATCTCCTTGAAGACACATGCAATCTTAAATCAGATGCTGAATAATTTGGTCTACAACATTCAGGATCTGCAGCTCTTTGATAGTTGCAGTTGTTATTGATACCTAAGAAGTTCTGACTGGATACATCCCATCCTGTGCATGTTTCTCAATCCCAGACAGGTGCATAAAATTCTTAAAATTAGAATTCCGGTGATAACATGAACACTTAACCAGCTGGAATTCAGTTCCTGTGTTTAGCATTTGTCATTTCTTTGAGAACCGCATTCTGCTGCAATTCTAAGCCAGAGTATTAGCAGAAAACAAACAAGCCCATTTGCAGCCAAATGAAAGTATTCAGAAATTGGAGCATGCCTAAATAAATATAAGTATGACTGTGGCAGCTTGAGGTGGAAGTATCAGCCTTCTCTGATGATCCTGAGAGCTGCAGAGAGGCCAGGGAAACAGAAAGGCCATCCCAGAGAGTCCTCTCCTGTGTTGAAGCATGACTGCACAGCTGTTCAAGCAGGGCATGACAACAACGTCCCACAGGGCTTACCTGTGCCAAGTCCCTCCATGCCTGGGATGTCGTCTCCAAACCTAGGGGAGAAAAGAGAAGGTGAAGAGTTGAGTTTGGGCCAAAAGGCACCCAGGCAAGGAGAGCAGCCCTGCACATGCAGCCAGGGAAGGAGAATTGTGGGTGGGCAGCAAATGAAGAGAAGCAGCTTCAGGCACGACAGCTGATGGCACCAGGGGCAGGGGGAAGCCTCCTGGCTCCTTGCCCAAGGGAAGACGCTACCACAGAAACCTTAGCAATGGGGAGCCACCTACTAGCATGGCTTCTTTTCTTTTGAAAATGCTCTTACCCTTTTACTCCTTTTTTAGGTGGCTTACTCTTGAATTGCCTTGTCTGTCTCTGCTTGAACTTGGGAGGCCCCTTGCGTGGTGTGGTGGGACCAGTTGGAGCATCTCCAGTGTTGAGGTTGGTGGTTGGGTTCTCACTCATTTCTGGGCTGCTGTGTGTGCCAGGCACGTGCCTCTCTCAGATTCCTCTGGCTGCAAGATAACAGCAAGGACTGATGCAACGTTCTGCTTAGCATTTCTACGTATCAGTAGTCAGGTCACAGAATTATGAAAAATATAATTGTGACAGGATTAAACATAAAGATGTTAAACATAAAGAAATATTGTAATGCATTCAAAGTAAGTAGGATAGCACTGCCTTTCATTTGGCATGCTAGAATTAAGATGCCAAACAAAGGACTCTTGAGCTAAGGACAAAAAGACACTTTGCTCCATAGTGCAGTAACTTGCAGAGTCATGAAGAGTCACACCTTCTTTTGTCCCAGACATAGCTGGACTTTCGGAGACAGGTCGCTGCAGTAGCTTTCCCCACAGTTTGGGTGAAATAGGAAGGTTAATGACAACGTAGTTTGTTTTCTAATAAGTCTTGAAACAGCAGTGCTAATGTTTTTACTTGTTGGTTAAGGACGTGACTACTAGGAGCTACAAATACACACTTAAGGCTTAGAGAAATATCCTATACTTGGGAATCATCATTATATACTTCACTTGTACCTAAGCACAAATACGTTTTACACACTGAATGCTGAGTTAGATGGGCCCTTAGTCTGGGTGGAACTTCAATTAAGGTCTCATATTTGTCAATACCAAACTCACGGGAAATAGCACAGGATCTTTGAAAGATGGTAAAGAAGGCTAAGGCAAAGTGTTGGAGATTGTCTTTTAGGCAGAATGGAATTCCTCAGGATTTAGGAGAGTAAAGCCTGCAACCTTCCCCAGGGTATGTTCATTTTGGTATTTTTGAGCATTACATTACATGTGTTCACCTCTTCTGCACCACACTGCACATGAGCCAAGCTCCACTTCGCAAGGGCTAAGTAGTTATCAGGGAGCAATTCTTGTGCAGGAGAAATCTCTCTGGCCTCAGAGAGCAGAACTCAGAGCCCTTTGCTTCCTTCTCAGACTGCACGGCAATAACCCTCACCACCCCTTCATCAGATTTTATGCTTATTAGTATGCTAGAATGGTCTGAGCAAGTGCATTTATGGACAAAAATAAATGCCTTTTCTTTTTTTCCTCTCCTTGAAGTCACATTCTTCTTCCCCATGACCATTACTTAACTCCTATCTCCAGGTGTTTGTCCCCGTGCAGCCAGGCTGATGGAATCACTGATGGAATTAACTTCAGGATTTGGTACTAAGGGGTAATCACATTATGTCACCATAGTGCTGTGGCCTAATCCCCAACATCACATGCAGTGACACTCCAGACTTTTAAACTCAGAACTGTAAATGCCATCAAAGATCTTTCGGTTTGTGGGTAATTCTGGTTTTCTTCTTTCCTTAGTCTGAAGACAGTTTGTGTCTTTGACTGCCCTGAAATATCTAAAGTACCTGAAAGCAAAGCCTGAGATGAGAAAGACCATCCAAGCAATTCCGTGTCACTTCCACATCAGTGCAAGACAAAGAAGTGTTTCTGTGTCTGTGGCGGTCTGGGAATACTTCACTCCTGACATCTTTCCATCTGTGCTGACAGTGGCATGAGTCCTAATGAGAGCACCTAAAGGCATTTTAATTCTCCTGTCGCTTGCGGTCAGGCTCCTTTCTCAGCTGTAATACCCCTTAGCAGGAAACTGGATGGGTTCCAGCAGCCCCAAATGGAGCAGCAGATGGTTGTGTCTGCAGCTGAAGTATGCACAGATGCTATTCTCCCTCCTGTAACACGGCGCTTCCTAAGCACATACTGTGCCCACAAACACAACGATCAACTCAGATTGTAGAAGTTACTTATTTAGCTGCCATCTCTGCAGCCCAGTATTTATAGCTTTATCCTCACAACACAGTGGCAGGACAGGCAAACACTGTCACCTTCATCTTTTACAGAACAGAAAAGAGGTGCAGTGATTGGCATGAGCTGGACTGCACTGCTGGAAGGAGTGACAAAATCTTTTGATTCACAGATTTTAGGACCAAACTGAGAGGTGAAGGCAGTTTGGCTCCAAAATGAAGAGAGAATTTCGTGCTTCACTTTTACTCAGGACCAGTGAGGGATTCAGATGTTACTGGTCTACAACAAAATGCTGCTCCATTATGTCTGCTAATGCTCCAAAGTATAACATTATGCTTCTGCCTCAGGTGCAGTTCTCATCAACAGGGTGTCTGCCGCAGGGCTAGACATCCCTCCTGAACTATGAGAGACACACATCCATTTCTAAGCACCATGCTCATCTGACATTACAACATACATGGTACCCCTCTCAAGGGCTACTTGCAAAAGTACAGCAGAAGAAACAAGCCAGCTAACAGATTTCCAACCCTTTGGACTGGCATCCAAAATTTGTAAAATACATCTGAGTTCCATCTCCACATGAGTTCCTGCACTGCTTCACCAACCCTTGCTGTTTGCCAGCATAGTACCTTAACCACAAAAATGTCTTTCAGAATCAGCTCCTCTTAGTTCCTTGAGACCATGCTTTGTCTCTGGCCTTTATTTAATAGGAAAATAGCTAATAAAAAGACTCAGTCTTTGGAATTTCCTTTTCCCCCAGTCTGAGGTAGCTGTATCCACCTACCAACTACTCGATAACCCAGAATTTTGTAGGAAAAGGTAGGATTTGGTAGGAAAATCTGCCCAAATCAAACTTCACCTTCTCTCTCACCTGTAGGAATTCAAGAAAGAGCACTCAATGAAACTGAAAGGGACAATTCTAACTTTTCCCTTAACAACATCCCTCTACCTATTCTCTCCACACATCACCAAAAGAAATGGCAAAAATGGAAAGCAGCCTTAATGCCACATAAGAGCCTCTATCTTGCAGCAGAAATCAAGCTGCCCTCCCACAGTTGATCTGGTTGGATTCATACACTAGCCATCACACAGAGGTGTGTCGCCATTCATGATGGAGAGGGCCTTGTCCCACAGCACAAGACCGGTTCCAGTTCCCACAACTCAGGAACTAGTAGCCCCTGAACACAGCCAGACATGGGGGGGGGGGCAGACACCCCAAGATCACAGATGTGGAAGAAACACCACAGAAGCTTCCCAGGGGAATTTCCCAGCCTTTCACCTCCCCATACCTGGGTATTCGGATAGTCCTTGGTACCACACCAAGCAGATGGCTTGACAAAGGTCTGATGAGACTGAGGCTCCTTCTCTAGATCTCTGCAAGTGCTATTCTGCCTTCTCTCAGTGCTTCCTGGGCTGCCAGAGCCCTTCTGTTGCTGCAGGCTCTGGGATGTAGCTCCCGGGTGAGAGCTGATGGCTGTGAAATCAAAGGCTGTTGAGGAACAAGATGTTCTTCCATGCACTTCCTCTGCTCCCTCCTCTGACAAGGTATTACCAAATTTCCCCTGACAGCATTTCTGCTCATTCCAGGGTTTAATCCTGTGGTTATAAGCTTTGCTTGCGTCCAAATGCTAATTATACCTAATACATGGTAATAGGCTTATCTCAGTTGCGTCAGATATCCCATCTCTGGGTTGCTGGCCAGGTTAATCATCCTTCTTTTAGTTTTCTTTGAACTCAAAGGAGCTTCAACACTTACTGGCAAATGCTGACTCTTTAATCTGCTCTCTCCTTAATCTCTGATTCTCTGTGGAAAATTTCTGTGACAGATAATGCAGATGCCTCACTTGATCTTCTTCAGACAGATTCAGTGTTGGAACTCATCTTCCCCTGTCTGAAACCTTCAAAAATATAGACTCCTCCATGTGTCATTGTGGTGCCTCAGGGGTGTCCCACACAGAACCCTCATGGCCCTCCATGCAGAGATACACTGGGAGTAGACAGCAACCAGGAGGAAATATTTTCACATCCCTTTTGATGGGGTTCTTGCATTCTTAGCTCTTGACTTCATGAGAACCACTAGCATCACCCTTGCAGCCAGGCTTTCATCAGGGAGTATTGTATCTGGTGTAAGATGCCTGTGAGGAGTATCACAACTCCAGTCTCAGTTGCTTGAGCTGGGTAATCATAGCAATGCAAAAAGTCCATCGGTTCATCCTTCTCTGTTCCTGTATTTTACACAGGATCTCAGGCCCTTCATTCTAGCAGGCAGAGACCCATTTAAAGTAGAACTATATTCCCACAACTGTTTCCCAGACGGAGACCATTGGATAGACTATGACAGTTTAAAGAAGACATTCAGTAACTCTGGAAGTACAGCATCACATGGTATAAACTCCCCACCAATGTACCCTGCATGTACTGCTGGGCACTGGGGCAGGAGACACCATCTGTCTGTCCTGACTGCTCCTCAGGAGCCCCACCAGTGCTGCTCATACATAGGCTCATCTAGCCAAGGGCACAAGCCAAGGGGGTGCCAGGGAGCCTCAACTAAGGGACGCCTGACATGAGAAACCGAGCAGCCCCATGGAGGGCAGAGCTGATCGCACAGCCAGAGAGCCTTGAGACAAACCACTGCTGCAGCACTTGTCCTAATGTTAGAGGAAACAGAAAACAAACACCCAACAACCACATCTCCTTCTCTTTAGCTACTGGGTCTGTTCACACTCTCCAAGCACAAACAACCAAATTTCTCCTCCATGGGGTTTTATCAGGACTTTTCTCTCCTCTGGGTTTTGCAGTCAGTTCCTCCTGCATCCCCCCGCCACCCTCATAATTGCTTTTTGCTCCTGGGAAACACACTTACAGTGCCAAGGGCTCCTCTTGAAAATCATTCAACTCCAGTCCTCCAGCCTGTGTAGAAAGTGTCTGAAGATGTCCTGTCTCCTCTAGATATACCCTGCCACCAGGTGACATTCGGGTGTCAATCATAGGCGGGTGCCCACATGGCTGGGGGGAGGACGACACGTGTTGGGAGCACTCTGTGATCCTGGCACTCAGCAGGCACAGCTCCAAGGAGGTGTGGTGAAGCAGCAGAGCCTCAGCACCATCCTGAGGGGCAAAGTGCTCCTTTCTGCACAAAGAGGTTGTGGCTTCCCTGAAGCTCCTGATGGGAGATGTCTGGAGAAGCAAAGAGGAATAAGGAAATCACCTGCCCTTTGAGAGATGCTTCTGTTTGTGAACACACACAAGGCTGCACATGCAGGGAAGGAGGAGTTGGTCCTAATCAGCTCAGATCCCTGCCCTGTGTTGGTGAATGCATGGAAAGGCTTCCAGCAAACTTCTCAGCAGTGTTGTGGGGGTCAAGATTCATCTTCCAGAGTGGTGCATGCAGTCAGCCTAGTGCATGAGGGCTGAGTCCGCTCAAGAGAGTCATAGGGAACACTGCTGAGATGCCGCACAGGAACCTGGTGAATATTTAACTGCATCCAGCAGATGGGATGGCAGGGGAAGAAGTGGGAATGTTTGCATTGCATGTGGGTGGCCAGCCAGCAGTGTGGCCTGTCACCTCTGAGAACAGAGGGACTGGATTTAGGGTTAACAGATAGGTCACATCTGGGTGCTAGTAGCATTGCTACTGTGAGGCACTGCCTGAGAAAGGGTAGAGCTGGTACCTCAGCCTAAACTGCAACCCAACAAATCTCCATGCATGGTAATGCATACTGCTTTACCAGCTGTTTTGTAATTCCAATGCATTTTACAAGCCTGTTATGACAGCTCAGCCCAGGAGACTGGTGTCAGAGATGTGGAAAAAGTAGGCAGAATCACAAGGCGAAAAAAGAAGGTCCGGGGTCCTGCTAGAAGGTGCTGGAAGGTCATCTTCATCCTCAGCTGTGGCAGCACCTCAGTCATGGACTATAGCTGTCTGGCTGGAGGCATAACCAGAGGGTTAACAATCCTCTGGGATCCGTTGGCTGTGGTTAAGCACCACTCATTAAACCTTTTTTGAGCATCCAGCTCACAACATGAGATCAGGGCTGGCGGTGCCGAAAATGGACCCAGAAAACAGAGCTGTGCTAGGAACAGCAGAGCAGTGCAGGAGCAGAAGGAAACCAAGGTAGGGGTTTGTGTAGTGATGGACGGGCTTTGTCTTTGGGTAATGATGGAGGAGGGGATTTTGGAGATGACAGCCAGGGGTGTGACTGCATGTGACCAAGGAGGGACAGTCTCTGACATGACAGACCCTGGCGGCAGGGACCAGTCCAGCAGTGCTCTGATGCTGAGCAAAAGCCCACAGCTAAGGCTGGCTTTTCAGACTACTGAAGTTAGACAAGATAAATCCTTCAGAAAGACCCTTAACTTACTTTTTAAAAATTGATAAGGTCCTAGCTCTTGAGTGGACACAGGATATAAATCCTAGGTACAGCCAAAGGGCTTTCAATCTAGCAGAGAAGCAGCAAACACACTTAACGTTCCCACGTGTTTGAGAATGATCACACAGCTTTCAGACGCTTGTGTGATAATTTCTGGGCACAGGAAGGAGGACGGGGGCAGCATTGTGTTGGCGTTGTCTCTTCCCTGTGATGACTGGAGCCTGTATACAAATGCATGGAGATTGATGGCACTCGGCAGCTCCTGACAGCAGCAGTGATTACAAGTGGGCCGGGACCTGCTTGTGTGGCTATAAAGAGGTGAAGCCTGCTGGCAGCAGACTTCACTCCCATCCCGGCTGCTCATTCCCATGCCTCCATCTGCTGCAGACAGGTTTCCTGGGGCTCTCCCTCCTCTTCTGCCTTCTCCTGTATAGGTAAAGTTGCTGGGGAAATCAGCTCTATAGCCCCCTACTCCTCTTCTCCGAACCTTAAAAATATATATACTATTTGTTTTCTAAACAGCCCTTTTATTTTCCTGTTTTCCAGATGAAATCTGGCTCATTTCTCTTTCACAAAAGTGGACACGTGGGAATAAAATTTCCATGGTGTCACATGAAACTATTTTTTGGCCACTGACAAAGCATGTCAGAAACTCCCTAAAGGGCCGTACTCACCATGTTTTTCCTTATCTCTTGTGATTATCAGGCCATTCCCTCCTCTCTTTCCCTTTCTCCCTTCCCCTCACAAAGCTTGTGGCATTTGCTTTGTGGGAATGTGTGTGCTTCTGTCCAAGGACAGAATACCTGATCCCTGTCCGTCCCTGCACCTCCCAGCTTCTTCCTCCCCTGGCCCCAGGAAAGCCAGCTCCAGAATTTTGGGTTGCATCAGTTGTCACCCAATCCAGAAGAGAGCTGCAGCAGAAGCCATGGGTTCCAAGTGGTAGCAGGAGTGCAGTCCCTGTGGCTCCAAAAGAAAACCCATGAGCTTCATTGCCTTTGTCCAGATTATTCTCTATTCCAAGGAATCACTTAAAAACATTGCCAAGGTTTCTGACCCTATTTATGAGCTGCTGTAGCCATGGTAACTGTACGTAACCAGAAATAGCAGCTCACTTGAATGACAAAGAAAACATAAGTTTACAAGACAGTGACTTTTCCAGGGGCTGGCTGAGCTCATGGGACTGTGGGAGGAAATCCCAGTCGAGGCGTGCTCTCAGGGATGCAGCGTATGAGAGCTGTGGCTGGCATGGGCCACAATAACTCTTTAGAAATACATCTTTACAAGCTTGTGCCAGGTGTTCGGAAGACTCTGTGCCTTATTGGTAGAGCTTTATCACCTGCCACACAGGTGTACCTGACCAGAAATGAGCAGGGACTTTCCAAGGCATCTGCAATTAAACCTCAGTTTTCCTCCTGCAGGCAGGCAGCCTCATGAAGTGCCTCTGTATCCCTGACAGGAGAAGGACAGTGGCAGGACCTGGATTTGGAATGAGATTGTCTATTGGTCTTGTAGAAAGTCAGTGAGGATGTCATGTCAACAGCATTTTGGTGAGAAACTCAGCATATTGAGGTGCCTGCAAAAGAAGATATTCATGCTGTAACTCTCCTTTACCAATGCCCATCATTTTCCTAAGCTGTCTGTCATTTGTGTTAATGAAAAAAAAAGAGAAAGAGATGTAGAGGATTGGGCTTTGCCTGGTGCAGATATTTGTCTATTTGAGTACATGCAAATCAGTCCATCAAAGATGCAGAGAAGAAGGCATCTTAGTGGAGAGTTTTATCATTCTGCCTCCAGGAAATCATGCACCACTGTTCTCGTGTTAGGATTAAGCATCTGTAGCAGCCTGCAGTCAACTGGGTGTGCTGACTCTGGGAATCTGTGCCTGCTGCTGGCTCAAAGAGTTATGTTGGGTGTCTCCAAACCCAGCTTTAAAAAGAGCCTGGTCTCAATTCTCATTTTCACTCATGCCCTGGAGGATACTTCGTCAATGATGCAGAGATTAAAGAGGCTGAGGTCTGTTTTTCTGCTGCCAGGGTTCTAGAGAGAGATTCCATGGTCAGTCTGGAGAAAAGGGTCCTTTGAGGAAGCACCAGTCAAACCATAAGGTTTAGCTGATCTATCAGCAATCACCCTGTCTGCGTTAGAAACTGGGGACATGACAAGGCAGCACTGGGGACATGACTAAGTCTGCAAGCCAAGGTCATTGCCAAGGCTCTTGAGGAAAAATCAAGTTCCTGATTTTCTCATTCAGCCAAGGATACTTGATTTTGCATGTCAGATCATTACAGGCCCCAGGCTTTCAGGCACCAACACTTTACGACATGCTGGGGCTTTTTATAGCAGATGATAAAAACATGTAGCCTGTCATACACTTCATTAGTTACCAGAGAGTTACATTTTCTTCTGAGTAGTGAGTCTGGTCTTTCTTGGAACAGATAATCAAGTTTTACCATCTAAACGCTAACGAGACTGCTACATTGGTATGATTTTGTTAACTTACATGAACTTCTGCCTTATTGGCATAAATAAAAGGAAAACCAGAATTATCTTTTCCATTTTTAGATGGCACTTTTCACCCACAGATCTCAAAACACAAAGCTAAATTTTCATCAACCCTATTTGTAAATACAGAAGCTGACGAACAGGAAGTTCATAGACCTGCAGATGAGACCCAGCCATCCAGACATCTGCTGCGGGGACTGATGTGCTTGGCCATGCGGCACAAAAAGCTCAGTACTTTGTAACTGCTTTGTGATTCATCGTTTAAGAGCATCCCCCTGCTCATTGTAGAGTTGTCCCATGAGAAAGCAGTAACATTAACATACGTCCTTTCCATGCACGACTTTGCTGAATGTCTGCAGTAGGGTGTTGGCAGGGCTGTAATGAGATTGAGCTCTTAGATTATTTTAAAAAGCTCTGTTTCTTTCACGTTTTCACTCTGCCCAGAATAAAAATATCAATTTGGATTCCTTTTTTTTTTTTTTTTGTAAGATTATTTCCCTTCCTGAATGACATGAACAGAACAAGCTCAACATTAATATACTGAACCATACTTAACATTTTTCTCTTTTTTGATCAAACCCAAGCAGTTAATCTTGTTATCTATGTGACTCCCAGAAAGCAGAGCATGTGGTTGCTCTTAAAAATGTACCTGAATAACAGTTTGTACAGTATTGTCTCAAGGGTCTTCCTTAGATTTTTCTTTTTCCATAATTGATTCCTTCTGTATGAATTATATGCCACATACCTGTAAACAGTGATTAAATGACCCACTAGCACTCACTAAAATGATCACACATTGAACTAAACAGAGAAATAATAATGCTTTGTTAAAAATAAATAAATAAATAAATAGACTGTGAGAATATGTTTTTATTTAAATGGAAATCAGATAATTCCAGAGCTTTATTCCTTTTAAAACAGAGAAGCAAATGATTCAGTGTCACTGGGCTAAGAAGAAGAAACTGTACACAAGTCAGCTCCAGATGTCTTCTTTCCTGACAGCTCCTTTTCTCATCTCTTTTCTGAACGATCAATTTTTTCTCCTTGGCAACCAGCAGCTCAATAAAGAAAGGCTCTTCTAAAACAGTTTGGTAGAATGTTTCTTTCTTCTTCTTAAGGGGACACATCTCTTCCTATGGCTTTCATACTATACTCTTCTTTCCTCCTCCTACCAGATAAAAGCACCGCTGTGCAATCTCATTCAGTTCAGCTCTTTGCCACCATTATTACGAATTTTTCATGTGACAGCTGAGGCTTTCAAACAGAAATGATTGCTTCTGGGGAGCATCACGTACTCTCCTTGAGAGGATTCAACTAATGGGCAGAGGAGGCAGCTCTTCCTGCTCCATTATCTTGTCTCTTGGGTGGCTGCTCACCTCTCACGTACATGGATGCTAAATGCTCTAGCTGCCATGTGATAGTAGATCCCTGGTGGAAATAACTGTGGAAGGGGAAAAGCCAGGGGATGAACATACAAATCATTTCCACACACCCCACCCCACTTTTCTCCTTTTATTGATCAGTGTATTGCTAGGTAATACACCTAGTTCTGCTCTCCCCTCAGATCTTGCTAATGTGTAGAGTTTAGTGTTTTAATGTGTGTAATTTTTATGGCCTTTCACTGACAGATCCCAACCTTTCTTTTAATTTAGACCCTCTACAGTCCTGCTTTCCAGAGAAGGTACATACATCTATAAAGTGAATTAGAGTCTCTTACTGGGAGGCCCATAAGGATACTTCTATGCCAAGAATCTGGAAC